TATTGAATAGTATCGGTCCCAGTACTGAATTTCTCTTTTGAACTCCTGAAGCTTTAATTCTGGTGACTTGTGTGATTTCAACACCAGTACATACCACAAAAAAGTAAGTGGGAAACACAAAGCAGTAGAGGAACACAAGTTGTCATTGTAGTTTCTTTATTTTCTTGTACAAGTACACAAGTTAATAGTGGTACAGTTGCTCTGAACATAAACTCTTCCACTTAAGGACCATCTGATTTACTGATGGAGCTTGGTTCTCTAGGTATCTCATCAATTCAAGTAAGGCATTCACTACTGTGGTGCTCTATGAGAAATTTTTTTGCATTTGTTATCTGAAGTTGTAATTCAGAATATAGCTTCAAAAATAACGTGATAAAACTGAATTCTTGCTGCTTCTTAGATTGCTACACTCCTTGGGGAAGATCAGATTACTTGATGTCGGTAGCTGCTTTAATCCATTTCTGAAGTTTGAAGAATTTCTGACAGTTGGGATAGATATTGTTCCAGCTGTTGAGGTATGTAATGTTTGTTGAATTTAATATTAAATTTGATTCTCAAGATATTTTAGAATGCTTCAAAATGACTGTAAAAAAAGTAAGTTTAATACTTAAGTATGTATCCTAAATACCTGTGCTTTAAAAGGAACTCTGGCCCTCCTACTACATCCTTTCCCATGAACAGGCTCAAAACTAGTTGTACTTTGTTTTAAAAATCTGTGGTGGGTTTTTTTTTCCCAAGAGTTATGCCTTTGTAATACAGTTGTGAATCTTAAAATTGGAAAATGTTTAGTAGCCATCTTTTAATGGCATTTCAGGTGAGTCCTTGCATCTTAAAAGGCATAAATAAAAATTGAGTAGGCTTATTCTTAGGCATCAACCTCTCAGAAGTTGCATTCACTGACAGAAGGAAATGATCGATCCCTGTACTTGGTGAGTTTTTCTGGGCAGTTTTAGTAACCAGAAGTGCACTGCAAGGGGGCTTTTCAGTTTATTGCTACAAATATTATTGAACTGCTGCAATCCTGAGGACAAATTTATCAGCACTTTTGGGGTAAATGGCTTCTTTCTTTCTCTAGGTAGGAAGGTTCTCAAATGCATTAATTCTGCTGTAATCATATGTTCATTCTGTCTTTTGTTCTTGACCCAACTTTTGTGAGTCCTAAAAGCATGTATCAACCAAGCAAAATGACAAAGCAGAATGAAAATGAAAAGATACAGGAAGGAATGTGTTTCTGAAAGAAAACAGAAAAACCTTTGACCATACACATCTTGACCACTTAGAGTTTAAAATCATGCTCTGTTAAAATCAGTGGCCTATGGTAGCCCTCTCTAGAAGTGGAGAGGTGAGAAGTTTACAATAGTACAGTTAACTTGGAAGTAATGTTCTCTTATTTGCTGCAGTATGGTGTACATGCTAAATGCATGGTCTTTTGTTGTGGTCGCTAGGTTTAGTCCACTAATACCTAATTTATATTTTTGCATACATACTTAGAGATAATGGAAGATATTCTTGAAAAAAAAATAATGAGTCTGATAAATTGCTTTTTAAAGCAAAGGCTGCTCTAAAACTCAAAGAAACTTTGAGTAGACTCCATCTTGCCTAATTTGAAGAAGAGGCATCAGTTGCCCAAACACGATTGTCTTCCACCACTTAAGAGGCTGCTGTAGGATATCTGCATAGGGCTGTTGGGCATGACACAGGATGTCAAGAAGACATATGGCACTGAAGAGGCAGCCTGTGGCATCTAAAATGGTAATACATGACCAGCAGATTTCCAGCTGAGATACACAGATCATGGGTGTCTACATCTGGGGTTCTAAGTTCCAACTACAGTCACTGGAGATCTATTAAAAATAGTCAGTGAAACCTAAATGTCTGCTGTTTCATGGTGAGGTGAAGTGCTACTGTACAGACCACCATAGTTACTGTGAGGTCAGCTTTGGGCTCACCAGCTTCTCTTATTTCCATTCTCTTGGATATTTTGGTGTGTTCAGGACACACTGAAACCTAGCTAGGAAGTGTGGAGTACAGTTTGTGAACTCAAAGGCCCAGCTCCAAACCAGAATTGATAATCCCTGAGGTATTCAAGATGACTCCACTGTGAACTGCATCAGCACCATAACCTCCTGAATAAATTTGTCTTCAGGCAAGCAGTTGCCTGGGCTGATTTAAGATTTTGGAATAATAGCCAGGGGGTTCTTACCATAGTTAATGTCAACCTCTGACCTGAAAAATTGATCTAATAAATTAGTTGTAGAAGCTGAAAATAGAAGAACTGGTAAAATGTTCTGATTTAACAGATCTTTTAGGTAAGATACCAAAACACATTGAAGCATAAAGGCTGCTTAGGAAGTCAGTCTTGAATAATGTTGAATAGAGGGTTAAATCATAGAATCACAGAATGGTTTGTGTTGGAAAGGGTCTTAAAGATCATAGAGTTCCAACCCCCCTGCCATGGCAGGAACACCCTCCACTAGACCAGGTTGCTCAAAGCCTCATCCAACCTGGCCTTGAACACCTCCAGGGATGGGGCATCCACAGCTTCCCTGGGCAACCTGTTCCAGTGCCTCACCACCCTCACAGTGAAAAATTTCTTCCTAATGTCTAGTCTAAATCTACCCTCTTTCAGCTTATACCGGTTACCCCTTGTCTTATCACTACACTCCCTGATAAAGAGTCCCTCCCCATCTCTCTTCTAGGCCCCCTTTAGCTACTGGAAGGCTACTATAAGGTCTCCCTGGAGCCTTCTTTTCTCCAGGCTGAACAACCCCAATTCCCTCAGCCTGCCCTCATAGGGGAGGTGCTCCAGTCCTCTGTCCAATTTCATGGCATAATTCCTTCTTTAATAAAAATTGATTAATCCACTTTCTGCATATAGAAAGGCTTTGGAAATAGACTGTTGTTGAGTAAAGTATTTCAGCTAATTGGAGGAATAAGAAGGATGTAATTATGGAAAAACTAGGAAAGGAATTGAAATGTTAGTTATGTAATAAAAAATTGTCGTCTTCAAAATGTTTAGGATCTGTTTCATATAGAGACTGTAAACTGTAGAGATATGAGTATGGAAATCTATTTCCATTAAAAGGTTTTGTTTTCAGGTGGAGGGGAACTGCACCAAGAAAAGGTTAGTATTCTCTTTAGCTAGGCATTGTTTACTCTTTGTTTTCAGTGTCTTGGTGTAAGGTACACTGAGGGAAACATGCAGTATTAGAAACCAGGAGGAGGGAAGCTGAGACTGGGATAAGCAGAACGGGTTTCTTGTTGACCCAGTGCTTTTTTTGGCCGTTCCTTCAAACTTTTCTCTTACTATTCCAGGGTACAATTAGCAGTGGTTATTTTCTTAGAGAATTTAAATTTGTCTATATAACAAAAAAAAAAAAAGGACAAAAAGACAGCAAAATTGAAATGAAGGAAGAATCTCCACTTTGGGAAAATCCAAATGTGATTTCATACTGCTGGGAAACATGTTGAATACACAGCAGATGTTGTATTGGAGTAAATATAGCCTGAGACACAAAAATGAAGACTCTGGAAGGGTACTGGAATTAAAAATTGGAATATACAAATAGGATTGTGTTCTTAAATGTCAGTGGATGCACTGAGATATGACTGCTGTTTCAGTGTCTAGGAGGACTTCAACATCAGTTCAAGACTTATCTAGCATTTAGTAGCAATTTCCAGTTTAGCAGCATTTTTGTCCTAAAACTGTCTGCAGAGTTCATATTCCACTTGAAACATATTTTAGTCCTGAAATTGTTTTTAACATTATTTCTACTTAACTGTTTTATGAGTATTTTTCCACTACTCAGAAATACTTGCAGTCTAAATTGTTTTGTCAACTGTATATGTATAACCTCTAACTTTTTAAGTCTTGCTTCTAAGTAAAGTTAGCATGCTACTCTGAACAATTATTCTTCAAAGCACTTTTTCCTTTTAAAACTTCCTAGAGGATATCATGAAACTACTACTGATAATTTCCTGTTCTAAATATTACAAGGAAGCAGAATAAAGCCCTGCAGGTATAATGGTTGCAATTAAAATTTATTTTTATAGCCACACAGTGCAAGTCTCTTTCTTGATTTTTGAATATTGGAGGCCAAGATTAAAGCTACTGAAAAATAAATCACAGATTCTTTTGAACACTGATTACTTTTCCTGATTTATTGCATACTCTTGGAAGAGAATGTGATTTTATATAAACTGAAATACCGTTCTCTTTTACTTGGAAGCATTTGTCCTTATCAGTTGCTTTATTAATACCTTTACAATAGTGTTCTAGTGATCTTTTCTGAATATTGTTTCATAAAACACACTATCAGTATTTTTTGTACTATGAAAATGCAACAGATCTAACTCCACCTTTCAGATGTGCCCCACAGAATGTTTATTGTCTGCTTTCACGTTCGCCTACCTGTTTAGAGCATCTGTTGTTCACTGCACATTCTCTAGGCATTAATAACAGTTTTGGTTGCTATCATGTTAAAACCTTGTACCTTAATCTTTTTTTAATGAAAGAAATCAGTCACAGGTTTTGATAAAGTGTCAATTCTTAAATGTAGTGAATAGCATAGTGTTACTCATTTTATTAATGCTCTGTGATTTAAGAATGTTAAGAACTTATTCTTCTGCATGTTGTATGTGGTGAAATTTCCTGTCTCTGACAGCTTGAGCAGACAAGTGATCACCAGATTAATTTACAGACCTTACCTTACTTCAATAACTGCCCAAATGTATATCGCTACACTTTGCATTTACAGCAAGGTTAAAACATGGATCTGCATCACTGCTGCAAAGCAGTTAGTGTACTGTAACTTCCTAATGTATATTGCCTTGCTGTAGCTTCTTTGTTTCTGTACCAGTAAAGAATGACAAATTTTTTCCAAGTGACCAACCTACTAAGTTTCCTGGATTCTTTTCAAAGATCTGGTGGAAATACTGGATTATCAAATTTATTTCCTAATTATTGATTTTATGTTTATTAAAAAAAACAAACCATAAAACAACAATAAACTATTAAAGGCTTCCAGCATCTGGAGAAAGAAAAGCAATGTAGGCTTGTCTGAGTTCTTAAATCATTTGTGAGATAGTTGATATGACACTTTGCTCTATTTGGGATAAATTTCTTTTTTTAGTTTTCAGCTATCAAATCTCTAGTAAATAACTGCACATCTAAAATTTTGCTTTGCAATTGTGAAAGCTGGCAATATGTGTTAAATTGTTATTTGAGATTGTATGATTTAATAGCAATAGGGATGTTAAGCAGGCTTGACATTTCCTCAAAGGAATGGAGAGGTTATCATTTTTTTTCTGTGGGCTTGGATCATATTTGTTCTTTAAACTAAGCTTGATGTTTGTTTGGTTTTCTGTTTTTCTTATTCCACCAGAGTGTATACAAATGTGACTTCTTAAATCTTCAAATTCAGCAACCTCTCCAACTGGCACAGGATGCTATAGATGCCTTTCTTAAGCAACTGAAAAATCCCATTGATTCTCTACCCGGAGAACTGTTCCATGTCGTCGTTTTCTCACTCCTCCTGTCTTACTTTCCATCACCCTATCAACGATGGATATGCTGCAAGAAGGCCCATGAACTTCTCATATTAAATGGCTTATTGCTTGTAATAACTCCTGATTCATCTCATCAGAATCGCCGGGCTATGATGATGAAAAGCTGGAAAATTGCTATAGAGTCCTTGGGTTTTAAACGCTTCAAGTATTCCAAGTTTTCTCACATGCACCTGATGGCATTTAGGAAAACTTCCCTGCAAACAACAAGTGACTTAGTTAGCAGGAACTACCCAGGAATGTTGTATATCCCACAGGATTTCAACAGTATAGAGGATGAGGAGTATTCCAACACTTCCTGCTATGTTCGGTCAGATACAGAAGATGAACAGCTAGCCTACGGTTTTATGGAGCTACCTGATGCTCCTTATGACTCAGACTCTGGAGAAAGCCAGTCTAGTTCAATTCCTTTCTATGAGCTAGAAGATCCTATATTGCTTCTAAGTTAATGTAGTCATTAAAATGCCCGTTCAGTCAAACCTCTTGCTTAACTAATTTTGCTATACTAACATGGGCTCAACACACAAAAATGGTTTGCATAAAGAAAAATGCAAAGGTTTACAGAGTTTGCTATTTTTTTCTACTTTTGAATTTTAAAATTTATTCTTGTATGAAAGTGAAAAAATACAAGTTTTATGCAAATGACTCATGTCATAGCATAAATTGCTGTTACTTTCTTTAGATTTGTATCACTATTTTTTTTTCTGGAAAGGTACCATTCTTTTCTTTAGTGCTGTGAAGTGTGAATTCTATTTAATTTCCTAAATGTTGTTTCAATATGTTAACTCAATGTGGTTGAGCTTAAGGCACTGGAGTTGGTGGGCTTCTGAGAAGTATATGTAGGAAGAAATAATTTGCACTTTAATTAAATGTGCAGATAGGATAAGACACTTGGTTACACATGTCCCTTCTTAATTATGGAACAAAACTTTTTCCAACATTTGTTTCACGCTGGTTAAGCCTGGGCTGGAGAAATGATAATGCTTGCACATTTGATTTTATGTTTATTGCAGCCCTCTTAAGATAACATCAAATCAAGATAACACCAAAACACTGGAATATATTCATCCACAGTTATATATACTTTGTAATGTCATTGCATAAATAGTAGTTAGACATGAGATTTCTGAAGAGGTTATCGCCCTCAGAGGAGTATGGTACGTCTAGACAATTATGTTTCACTTCAAAGCTGGAACATGGTTTTGCAATTTTATGAGTTCAAGCAGTAACATATATCAGTATTTCCCTTATTATGGTGTTCTGTATTCTCTTCAAACTGTGTTTTTTGGGGAACAGGGTGGGTTTTGTTATATTTTAAAGTAAATTATTAATGCATTTTAAAAACAACTCTTTCTTTAATTGTCCTTACTTGTAGACCTCCCAAGTTATACAGTAACTACAGACTGATTTTGTAAAAAGGAACATAATTATACAGGTTTTTCAAGGATACACATATTTGCACAAAGACGTGTATTCAGACCACATGAGTGAAGTTAACATACGGTATTTGTTTGCTTTTTTGGACCCAAAAATCTTATGTTGAGTTAAATAAAAACTCTGTAGCTGTCTGAAAACTGGTCTGCACTGTAAGGAGATGGAACAAAAGTATTTTACATCTATTAAGTTTTTTAACTTGTGTAATAAATTTGTGCGGTTTTGCAGGAAAAAACTATTCTGTTCAGTATTAGTTTTGCTGAGATTTCTCTCCATTTAAAAATAATGGCCAGAATTTTCAGTGTTAGGCTGTTAAATCATAAGTGCCTAATAATAAATTATTTGAACTAGGTGCCACATCATGGTTCTATGACTGACTTCAGCAACATGGTAGAAAATACTAATATATCATTTCACAGGTGGCTGTGATGAAATATACCTTACACCATATTAACCTACCATTTTGTATTTATAATACAGAAGTTACCAGCTAAGCTGAAGTTGTAGTGTGGATTTTACACTGGTTGCTACAAAAATGAAACTTACTCCTTCCGTTGAAGTTTTGTACTCAAAGTGTCACAGTTTGACCTACCTGTTTTTCTTTTATACTGTTTCTTTTATACTGCTTCTTACAAAGAGTCATCCCACATTGGTCCTGCTTACACTCAAACATGAACTGGACTGCAATGCTTTATTCTTTAATGTAAGCTTTTTGTGTCTCAATTCTTAAAGCTAAAGCGTCCCCTAATACCAAATTTGTTATTCAATCTGAATGGTATAGTTATATACAAACCGAACAATTATATTCTGATGTGTTAAAAAAAAAAATACCAAAAAAATTGAGTTTAGACATACAAGTATCATGGTTGACTTTTAAAATTTTTATACAGAGAATATATCTCTAATGGAATACCCAATGGCTTCAAAATCAGCCATAAGTCAGTATTTGCATGTAATGCTTTACCACTTTCACCAAAAGATTTGTCAAAGTCTTTCCTCCCAGTTAACCACTGACTCCAGCACTGCTCGTGTTAAAGCTAAAATATTGGTGCTACAAATTCATCTGTTTATGGAAACTTAATCTGTGCGTACTTCAAAGTGTACTGAACATTTGAAGTGATATTCTTTTTAAAAACAAAAGTTATACACTAGCTAACATACATGTTGGCATTGGTTAATGTAAATTGGTTTGTGATTCAGACAAAAAAACAATTCAGATAAAAAATTATCCACCCAAAATAGGTTTAAATATTAACATTTAAAATTTAAGCCTTTTTGGCAGGTTGGTGACACCACTGTATTTATGGTTAAGGGACCTGAGATTCATAACAGCTTGGTTTTCTTGCTGCTCATTCTAAATACCTGAAGTGTTCTCTCTTTTTTTTTTCTTTTTTTTTTTTCTTTTTTTTTAATACAAGGGACAGTAGATTGTGGTTGGGATTTACCTAAGTACTTACACCTCCATGAACAACAAAGTGGTGGTATCAGGAGTTGTTGAATATTTGGCTTTGGTGCAAGAAGAATGTTTCTAGGTTATGAAATATTTGAAAATTATGACTGTGCAAGATCTCTCATTCTTAAGGTGCTGGAAAGGAAAAGGAAAAAATGTGTATTTGCATTTCTGTTGTCTTTATGTCACTACTTTTTGTGAACAAAGCACACTTATTAAAAAAAGCCTGAAAACCTCTTTAAACATTGTTTCTTTGGGGTGAGATGTTATCCTTTTTTTCTTCTTATGCAATCAGTTTATGCTGAAATCCAGTGAAATCAATGCATAGTTATTTTCCTTATTGGCAAGAAAATAGTTGTTTGGAGTTTATTTTATAAACAAACAAATTATAGTAAAGTTGTTAAATATGGTACTTCAGTTTCAGCTTCTACATCTCAGTTTTGGTCTTCGCTTTATGGAAGGGTTTTTGGAGTTCCTCTGGTTGATCCTGCATCATGTTTCTTTGCCTGCCCACTTAGGATGCAACCACTTTCTAATGCAGTTCCTCTCTTCTCTCTCCAGATGTTCTTATTTCTGCTCTATCTCCTTGAAATATCTTTGCAGCATCTGTTGTACATTGGCCCTTTGAGGTCACTTGTATTTTTCTACACGGTGATTTTGAGTCCTGGAGGTGTTGGACAGCAGTGGGAAAAGAAACCCAAAGAACTGAAAATGCAAGACTCCTACTCAGATACAGATTCTAAGAAAGTTAGATTTCAGCAGAACTGAAGTGTGTCCTCAGCACTGCAGAACCTACTTTGTATATTCTGGTCTCTTACTTTAGAGTGAAGATCAGAAAACATAATTTCACAGCTTTTCTTAGTATTGCTACCTTCAGAATCTTTCTGTCTTTTTCTGCTTCAGGGAGACTTGTTGACTTGCCTTTAAAAGTGTGATCATTCTAAGTATTTTTAATTGTATCCATGAATTGGCAGCATTTTTTTGATTCCTTGTAGTTGGGATATGTATATATTCAGGTTTCCTGTTTTAACAAACTTGCACAGAAACTTAGTTGCTTTTCAACCTTTTAAGTCAAATATTTTCTAAGAAATTAAACAAACACTTGCTTGAAGATTATTCCTAAATCACAGTTGAACAGATATAGTACCAAGTGTTGTCCATGATGCTGGTAAAGCATCTGAAGCAGGTGACTTTTACTGAGCAACTGCACTGTCTACTGCTCTGCTTGTTAAAGGAAAAAAAAAAAAGCTTTCTTTTTTTTTTTTTTTTTTTTTGTTTTAAGCCCCATGTAACTTTTAGGCCTGTTGGCCAGTTTTGTTTAAAATTGGAAGAGATGTAAGGATTGTGGAGATGACTGAGGTTCTTGTGAATCAGTTGTCTGAATAATTGAGGCAGGAATGACAGCCTGTCCCAGTTTGGATGTTTGAGTATCCAGCTGCTGCCAGTCAGCACTAGTGCTTCTTGACAAGAGGGACATAAGGGGCTGGTTGTGATGAAGGGATTACAGGAACAAAGGACATAAATCCACAGCAGGCCCGCCCTCTTGCAGTTCAAAGAGCCCCTGTGTGGCAGCTGTCTAAACATCATTCAAAGCTGAACTACCCTTGTTTTGCCTGTCTAAGCAATGCAGCTATTAAGATTCATCAACTTCATGCCCTTGCCTACCTGCCTGCCAGGCCTGATTCAAAACATGCATTTCGCAACACAAAGCATTGTGAAACACTGATGGTCAAGGAATTATGCCTTCTGTGTAATGACAAGGTGGTGAAAGCTGCTGTTTGGGAAGCATGAGTCAGTCCAGGACCAGAGTCCTCTCCCCCAGAAGGCTCCTGCTAGCCAAGGATGGGAAGGGCGGGAGAGGGTGCAGCCAGTCTTGCAGCCCTCATTCAAACACAGCTTTCACTCTTCTCTGTCCTAAGCACCAGTTGACAGTGTTTATAGGTTTGCGGGTTTGGGTTTTTTTGTTCATTCTTCCAGCCTATTAACTTTGCAGTTTTTTGTGTGTGGAGAAAATGCTTTAACTCTTGGCCATCACCTACCTGTTACCAATTTCCCTAAGAGCCAGACAGCTGCGGGGCTGGAGGGTGCCGATGGGCAGGCTGTTACAGCCCCACTCGGGCCCCTTGACACCAGCTGAGGTGTAGGTTTTCTTCTCACAAGGAAACGTTGCTCTGGGCTCCAGGCCGCTGGCGCAGAGCAGCACTGCCCCGACTGGTGTCTGGCCCTGTCCGGGTGCAACACCAGCACCGCGCTCCTCTCTTCTCTCCCCTTCCTGTGCACCGTGGACCAGCTGCCTCGGTGCTGGGTTTGGCCCATGCTGGGTGGCCGTGTTCCTCTTGATGTTTCCTCTCCACCCCAAGTGCTCCCCGTGTCCCTCAGTGTAGC